ATATATATATATATATATATATATATATATATATATATATATATATACGTAGTTGCGTATATGGCAATATGTATAGGTACTTACGTATAAATTGCCGTTTCATTTATAGATAGAATAGAATATTTTATCTATAAATAAAACGGCAATTCATACGTAAGTACCTACACATATTATTTGTATTTCGTTTTAGATACTTAAACAGTGTTTTGAAGTAAGCATATTTTTAGGGATGTTTTTAGACACAAGTTTAAGTATCTTTGGGTATTCGGGTAAAGGTAATGAGATTCAATGAGATTAATAATACAAAAATATATAATTCAATTAATTTATTAATTACACATTAATTTCGATGCTTTTTTACCTCTCGTTTTGCACCCTTTGTTTTATTGAAATGTTCTCGAGCCCGTAGGAAAATGGAGACATTTTCACCAGTATCATTACATAAATTATAATAGCTCTTGCCATTAAGTATATTGCTGACTTCTTTGCACCAAGTAATTATGAAGAACACAACACTTTTATGGACCAAATATTTCTTTAAATTTTCTTTATGTTTTTCACATTTCATAAAATTTAATTCAATGTGGACTGATATAATCAGCATTATATATTTAACAATGTTTTCTATATGTGCATATTTGTTTAAAATATTGCATGTTATGTGTTCTACTTGTGCAAAAAAGTCAAACAATGATCGGGTAGGATAGCATAACCATCTTTTGCCACAATATTCTTTTTTTATTATAAAATTGTGGAAATCTTCATTATTTGATGATGTTAAATTATTTTGGCATGTTTTACATTTTTTAAATATAAACTTTTTTGCTTTGGTTGCTATCCACCCACTACAATAAGCTATGGCCGCACATTTCTCTACATGAACTCGAGAACGGCTTTCTAGAATTAGTTGTGTATTTATTAAATCAATATTTAAATGTTCATCGATAATTTCCATTATGTCATTAACATCCTCCACATTACAATTTTGGTATATTAAAGATTTTAATGATTTTAAACATATACTGTCATCTTTTTCACAATTTCCCTGTAAGGATTGTGGGGATGTTATATTATTTATTAATAAAGTTTTAAATGCGGTTTCAAAAGCTGCCGAGTTGGGCATTACATTATTATAGCCATGAGCTCTTATTGCCCCGAAAAAGTTTTCCAAAGGGTCTTGGTTTATATTACGTAATAATAATGAATTTACTCCTTCTGCCCTTAAGTTATTTGTTATTAATTTAAAGCCTTCTATAGTTTTTACCCAACTGGTTAAAGATGGTACAGTTACCTCTTTGCCATTGTTATTTATATATTTCATTGACCTTAAAATGGGTAATGTTTTATTCCAAAATTTTAAATGGGGTGAGTTTGGTGTGACTGCAGATCTGTATATTTTCCCTTCTTCTTTATGATAATTCGCATTGACGGAGTCGAACAGGTTGTCGAACAGCATTATCAAATGTGCAGTGTCCACACTTCCCTCTGGCAAGCACCCACTTTCTAGAAATGAAAGTTTTATGTTAAGTATATATAAGTATTTAATTATTGTATTTGCTTTTTTTATTGGGGCATCTTAAACTACTGGAGAATGTTTAGAGGCATTTCACACCAAGTATACATTATGTGTCTCATAAAACATCATGCAAATCATTTTTCTCCTACTGATATCGATAATAATAAATCATTACGGTCCCACTGCTAGGCACAGGCCTCTCAGAAGTAAAAGGATTAAGCCTTAGTCCACCATGCTGGCCTCATGTTGGTTAACGGACTACACACAAATTGAGAACTTTATGAGGCCCTCTCAGGTGTGGAGGTTTCCTCCCGATGTTTTCCAGCACTGTTAACACAAGTAATCAATAATCAAAGTCTGTTCCCACGTAACCTGCATGAAAAGCAAGTGTTTGACCGGTGGGCTATAATGCCATTTTGTTTTTATAAAGAAAATGTAGGTACATACAGTTTCTTTTATTATAATATTTACGGATTTTCCCAATTTTCCCATAAATAACAATTATAAGTTATTATTTCTTTTATTAATTTAAATAATCTTATTACTACATTCTTAAAAATATGAATAATAGGTATATACATTTATGGGTCCAACGGCATATTATTATTATTAAGTCTCCATTAATTTGGCAGTCTAAAATACAGTAAATAGGTACTTTTTATTATATAAATAGGTGATGTATGACTGCAATGATAATATGTGATGTATAACCAGATATCTTAACACTGTCCAGTTTGCAGACACAATAGTAAGACAATGGCAATGAATTACATGGAATGCACTGAACAGGCAAAGGGTTAAAGTTGTTGAAAATTTTGCACTGAAAAAGTAGCATTTTCTGTTTTTATACTACAAAATTGATAGGGACTGTAAGTTAAGTGAGACATACCTGCCAGACATCCAAGTGTCACACCAACAGACGTGCTGAACACTTGTGTGCAATACTTAACCCTCATTTTGGGTATCATTGAGGGCACCACATGTTGAGCTGTCAGTTTATGAGCCAACTTTACACCCCAAATGAAGGGCTTCTTTTAAAAAGATCTTCTATATGACACCATTTAGCCACACGTACCTTGCCATCCATGACATATTTTAAATTTTTATTTAGTAAATTGTTACGTACACCCTTCATTAGATGAGGTGGATCATAAATAGGCATAATTTTGACACTGCCCACTTCAAAAAATCCACCTTCATAATCCTCATGATTTCTTAAATAATTTCCTTTTGTTTCTTCCATCAACTGATTTATTGCAGCGATGTTTGTGGCTCCTTGGTCACACACTGTAGCTACAACTTTAAGACCTGTGTTTTGGACTTTTTCTATTATATTTTTTAATTGATATTTCAGATCTAACGACTTTGTTGTTCCTGAGCAAAAACTATAGGCTATTGGCTGCTTATATTTTTTTACTATGCCTCTCACCATAAATACAAGCACATGATCAGCGAATATTGGTTGTCTTTTGCTGCCATTGTCAACAAAACCATTTATTTTATCATGTGCCCTGTCATAACTTAAGTTAGTAGCAATTGACATTTCATCAAACAGTATGCAACAAAATTTATGTTTGTCTGGCATTTTGGACACTTTTTTCTTTAAGTGTTCAAATATTTTTTCGTTAATGCCAGGCTTTAAATCCACTTTCTGTAAAATATTTTGAAGTGTTCTTCGGCTTGGCAGAACACAAAGCTGGCTTAGCAAGCGGTATGCTTTTGGTTATGGTTTATATAACGAAAGTGCTAAAATTTTTTCATTAAGAGTAAAACGCCTTCCTCTAGGTTTTTTACCACTTCCCTTTACTTGCATATAAAATAAAGATTTAGCTGCTGATGACATCTTTTTGGTCACAATTTCAAAAGCATTTGTTTTCCTTATTTTCTTTGCTAGCAGATATCTTTTGCGAAAGGCCTCTTTGGTTTTAAGAACTTGACGAAGTGTTTGCTCTAATCTTTTAACTTTATTTTCAAAATGCTTCCGTCTCAAAAAGGGTACTGAAAATATAAAAATATAGTTTTATTTGTGCCGAATGTTGTTTATGGAAGGTACATTGAAAAGTGAATCAGTCAGCTTCAAGTCGGCTTTGGATTTCAAGTCTTCAAGTTTAAATCGGCTTTATTATGGTAGACTATAAATAAACATTAAAGGGTTTGTATTTGTAGTTAGACTCTGATCAGTTATCTTACGGCTTAAGATCATAAAGCAATAGCTAACATACCTGAACTAAAAGTCTTGAAGTATTCAATAGTTCTAGTTGTTATGGGTTTTATTACATCATGATGCAATATAGCTTCTTGGGATGTAGATGGTGGGCTTGGTGCTGAGAAGCAAAGAGAATAAATTTAGTATTTTACAATATTCCAAAAATATAATATTCTAGTGTATCCTTTTAGTTTGCAGAATACTTAATAATATAAGATCCCACTGTTGATTTCTGCAAGTATTTGTTTTTTAATGAAACTCAATTCAAATGAATGTTTAATGATTATATGACCTACATTACTCCCGGGTTGCCTACCAAAAATTTGTCCCACATACCTTTAACTAAATATATTGTAATTAAAACAAATTGCAAAAACATATTATATTGTTTTTGGTTAATTCATTAGTTTCACACAGGTTATAAATGAATGTACAATAAATATATGTTTTATTGTACATTCATTTATAACCTGTATGAAACTAATGCAGTTGCTAATATTAAATAAACTTAATCAAAAACTGATTTACCTGATGCACCTGCATATATATACATGCAATAACAATTCAATAAGTTTGTTTGCAATAAAATCAAAGTTGTGTGCAAAAAACAAAACTTTTTGGTATGTTGGTCTTAGATTTCTCCATAGAGTAGAGGAGTAGACAGTAATCTATGGGAGTAGAGTATGTGGAGTAAGTAATATATACAGAAATGAGTTTTGGCGGGAACTTGGCTATAGACGGATTGTCGCTCCTGTTTTGTCGCTTGAATAATGGTTTGAAGTGGATTTTGATTCGTAAAAGTGATGCGATTTTGTGAATTAAGTGTCCGCGCGTGTGAACTATTAGAGAAAATGACAAAACAAGTGCTTTGATGTCGATATAAACTTCAAGTTATTTTGATCGCTTGGGCGCCTTATGAACTTGAGTGGCTGTCGTCATCAACTGTCCGCTAGGTTGAGCTGTCGTTAAAATCTCCCTAGGGCTTCGCAATGTGACGCATCAGCATATTGTGAAGAAAAAGAACATAAAATGAAGATTCCAAAAGAAAGGATAGGCTCAGAAGGTCTAGAAACCAGTTAATAAAGAAAGAATATACAGAAATAAATATTTTATCTGTCTACGGTAGTGAATCAACCGGTTTTTGATAAAACCGATACGTACCGGTTCTAGATAAATAACCGATTTATTTTGCATGTTGGGAGCCCTATAACTTTACAACGTGTAACTGAATCCTTATGAATAGCTGTGGTTGGGAATTCCGAAAATGTCTATGGAGCAATGGAGGATTTACCGATATACAATTGTACAATTCTGCAATTTTCTTTGCAAAGCATAGCGATAGTCCGAGTGAGTTAAAGTTTGTGCCTTATTTAATTGCCTAAAATAATTGTTTGTGCCTTGTTTATAACAAGAAAAAGAACTACAAAAGTTTATTAGCATTATTATGTTTTGTTTAAATAAAAAAAGCAGTTTCACGTCAATTTTACCTGTGGTCCATAAAGTAACCTCTTAATTTTATCGAATTATTTTTTTGTTTGCAGGATACCAAAAGTAAAAGAAAAATCTTACAAGAAATCATTTTGAAAAATTGTATAATGATTCGGCTAAATGTCAGTTATGTGGAAAAATTATCAAGGTTGGCGAAGGGGACATCAAATATGTTGGTCAATCCTGTGAAGCATGCCATCAATAACAATAAGCAATCTATCCCGCTCCCATCAAATAATACTGATCAAGAGCATCCACGGAAAACCTTTATTCAAAGTAAGTTGAAAATGACGATGGGGAGTAACAAAAAGAAAATAGACGAATATTTTACATTAATGATCGCCACCGATTTCCAGCCATTCTCCGTAGTGGAAGACAAAGGCTTCAAAAGGTTTGTAGAAGCCTTAAATCCTAACTATGTTCTGCCTTCAAGAGAAAAAATTAGATAAGAATTGATACCCGCTTTATACGCAAAGGTGAAGACGCAGCTTGTCCTCACCTTTGCAATACCAATACCAATACGTCGCACTAACCACAGATCTATGCTCAAATCAGAACATGGAGTCATTTTTAACGACGACGGTACATTTTTTTCATGAATATAATCTGAAAAGTTACGTTTAGACAACATCGGAAGTTCCTAATTCACATAACTCTGAAAATTAGGCAGAAATCATGAAGAACATCATAGTGGAGTGGAAATTTCATAACAAAGTTGCTGCTATTGTGACTGATAAAGCTTACAATATGAAAAAAATGTGTGATTTGCTTGAGTACGGCACAAGCCGTGCTTTGCCCATACTCTTAATTTAACCGTCGAAGAATCGTTACAGTTCGCACAGGTGGAAGAAGTTATCAAGAAATGCAAAGTAATTGTAATTTTTTTTAAGAAGTCGTCTGTTGGATGGCGTGCTCTGAAATTAGAACAGAGAAAGAAATCCTAATGCTCAGCCACTAAAACTAATGAAAGATATTACGACACGTTGGAACAGTAAATTTCATATGATGACCAGAATACTAAAATTGTATTCTGGTCATCATATGAAAAAACTAAAATGAACTGGCACTGAAAAAAATTATCAAAAACGTTGTAAATGTTTTAGGTATATTCGAAGACGCATCTAAATTAGTGAGTGGTGACCAATACACAACAAGTTCTTTAGTCATTCCCGTAATTTGCGGGTTATTTGAAAACCTCAACACCATAGAAATATCACTGGAAACAGATGTAGGCAAGATGTTCTGCTCAGCAATACGGCGTAACATGAGCAGCAGATTGTTGGCCTACGAAACAAGAACTGTGTCACAAATTTCTACATATTTGCATCCAACCTTAAGGACCGGCTTTCGTCAACCTGAAAATATGTTATCTGCTAAAGACCGGGTGAGGCGGGAGTTGGGGAGTCTGATACTTGACTCCAAAAATAAAACTGATGCCCCATCCTCTGATTCAATACCTACGACTGGCAACAGCGAAGCCAGGAATTTTGGACTTCTTAAAACAAAGAAGGAATGAGACTGGTGTTCCAAATGTGACTGATGTCTACAGTAAACATACTGCGCATGTATATGGAAACCGAGATTGACCCTGGGCGAGAAGACAAACATACAGAAGTCGCTGGAACTTACTAGAAAAAAAAATAAACATTTGGTGCCGCTTAATAACATGGCTTTAAAATATCTGTCAGTGCCAGTGACTTCTGTACCTTCGGAACGAATGTTTTCAACTTCCGGCTATTTCTTATCACCACGAAGGAACAGGTTGCTAAGTGATGCAGTAGATCGACTTTGTTTTATCCACCAAAATTATGATTTAATTATTTAACTAATAATAAAAATAAGTTTTTTTTATTGAATAAAGTTTAATAAGTATTAAAAAAACCCATTTTTTATTTTCATATGGATTCTATAACCCTAAAAAAACTAAAAAAATCAAATCAAATCTGTTTATTTTGTGAACATAGGTTATTTTACAGGTCTCAATATATACATAGTAAAATACGAGGTAGGTTCTCTATGTCCCGCCAGTAGGCATACAAAATATAAAATAATAATTGCTTAACATTTTTTTTTCTCTTCTGATGTCAGTTTCTAATTGAAATAATTAAATAATGTATCAATATAAGAACATTTTAAAGATAATAAAGGTATAGTATAATGTAGCATATAATAATTGTCATCATTTTGTCTAATTGTCATCTATAATATTATTAATATTAATATCATCACATGACATGTACCAATTAAGTCATAGTATTAATTGGCACATGTCATGATAGGTATATATTCAATGTCGTATAAATGTGTCGTTAAGGAATTCATCTAAAGAATAATATGCTTTTTCATTTAGTAGATCAAAAAGTTTACGTTTATATATATTAATGTTGTCACAATCTCTAATGTACTTAGGTATTTTGTTATATACTTTAGTGCCATTGCATCAATACTCTTTTGTAATAAAACAGTTCTACTTGGTACTAAATGAAGCTTATCTGAGCGACGTTGACTTTCCAAGAATTTATACATGTTAATATTACGTTTTACAAAAATGCTTGTTTCGTAAATATATAATGAGGGAAATGTTAGAACTTAAAATTTTTGAAAATGCGGCTTTTGGTGACGCCTTCTTTCGGCGACAAATTGACGCCTTCGTTCGCATTCGCACACGAAAAAGTAAATTTATGCATACGTCTTGCATAGAAATGAGACAGAGCTGTATGATTGTTTGTCACTTTCTCCGTGCCGGTTTTTTTGTTTAGCAAACTACACTTTGCTAAACAACTTTGACAGTCTGTAGCGATCTAAGGAGTTTAAAAGTTGGTTTAAGTGAGAAAAAAGTGTTTTGTGAGCTTAAGATTGGTGAATCTTGTTCGTTTCAGGTCTTAGAACAATTAAAAATTTTATCTAAATATGTTTAAAAGTCATAAAGATTATTGTATAACCTAAAACTACGTTATCGTCCTTTCTCACTCGAGGCCACGCTAATCATTAGTCTATACGTTTCTCTGTCCACGGTAAATGCATAAACATATATAAATATGTTACATATAACCTAAGGATCGTTAGTACTCTTATTAGTGCAGACAGAAAAACCTATAGACAAATTGACGCCTACTTTCGCATTCGCACACGAAAAAGATAGATTTATGCATACGTCTTGCATATAAATGAGACAGAGCGTTGTGATTGTTTGTCCCTTTGTCCGTGCCGGTTTTTTTGTTTAGCAAACTACACTTTGCTAAACAACTTTAACAGTCTGTAGCGATCTAAGGAGTTTACAAGTTGGTTTAAGTGAGAAAAAAAGTGTTTTGTGAGCTTAAGATTGGTGAATCTTGTTCGTTTCAGGTCTTAGAACAATTAAAAATTTTATCTAAATATGTTTAAAAGTCATAAAGATTATTGTATAACCTAAAACTACGTTATCGTCCTTTCTCACTCGAGGCCACGCTAATCATTAGTCTATAGGTTTCTCTGTCTACGATTATTAGTTTGTGCTAAGGGTATATCCATGGCCATGGAGGTTAGAGAACAGGAGAACGATCGCTGTAGAAAATAGTGTCCTAGAAATATGGACAAAATTAGTGAAGCGCTGCGATCGCTAAATTGTCTCAATAATTTTAATTATTATAAATATTATAAATTATTATAAATATTATAAATTATTATTGATTTATTATATATACTCAGAGTTAGAAAGCGCTGAACAACCAGAGATGACATGCCTAAGTGACTCACCGGGATGGCGACAAGCTCGAGAGATGTCAACGGTTCCATCCTTTAAGATGTAACTCTGATAGTTCTTGGTCTTTATAACCAGATCCTGTATTGCACAGACAAAACCCTCGGTTTCCCCCGAAGAGATCACCAAAGCGTAGCCAGTGGAGAGAGGCTACTGTGTCTACAAAAAGTTCATGTAGAGCCTTGTAGAACCTCCCGTGAAGCTCCTTTTCCTTCCATACGGTCTCCCGGTCTGAAATGCTCTGCACTTCTGGGTCTTGCCATTGCTCGTTGGCTAAGGATAGAGGGGTAAGTCCTTTATCACAAGAAATTACGTCCTTATAGAATGGATCATCCGATCTCGCTAGGAAGAAATTACCGAGGCTGCACACTTCGCGATTATGCATGGTGACCGCGCTCAAAAAGCGCCCACCATTCTTTCGTGGCAAGTACAGCCTCATAACCGATGATCTCGGATGATGCATTCTATGGAACGTCATACTCATCATCATCATCATTACAGCCCTTCAAAAGTCCACTGCTGAACATAGGCCTCCCCCAAGTAATGCCAAAGCAAGCAAGGTCCTGAGTCACCTGCATCCATCGACTTTCTGCATATCTTACCAGGTCGTCACTCCATCTAGTGGGGGGTCGCCCTACACTACGCCTACCGGTACGAGGCTGCCACTCGAGAACCTTTCTTCCCCATCGGTTATCGGTTCTTCGAGCTATATGGCCGGCCCATTGCCACTGCAGCTTACTAATCCGTCGGGCTATATCGGTCACTCTGGTTTTACTACGGATATCCTCATTTCTGAGTCTATCACGCAGAGAAACTCCGAGCATAGCCCTCTCCATAGCTCGCTGAGCGACCTTGAGCGTCCTCATACGGCCAGCAGTGAAGGACCACGTCTCAGATCCGTAAGTCATCACTGGCAACACGCACTGGTTGTACAATCTAGTTTTTAGAGATTGAGGTATACCTGACGAGAAGATATGTCTTAATTTCCCGAACGCTGCCCAGCCGAGTTGAATCCGTCGATTGACCTCTCGGTCGAAGTTGGACTTACCTAGTCGGACTATTTGTCCCAGGTAAACATCAACAACTTTGAGCATAGTGTTCCCAACAACTACCGGCATAGGTGTGACTTGGACATTAAACATGATCTTTGTTTTGTCCATGTTCATCTTAAGACCTATCTGTTGGGAGGCACTATTGAGGTCATTGAGCATAGTGCTTAGGTCCTCCAGCGATTCTGCCATAAGGACTATATCGTCGGCAAATCGAAGGTGAGTGATGTACTCGCCATTGATGTTAATACCGTATCCTTTCCAGTCCAGTAGCTTGAAAACGTCTTCCAATGCAGCGGTGAAGAGTTTCGGGGATATAACGTCACCCTGTCTTACACCTCTCTGCAGTTGGATAGGTTTCGAGCTCTGGTTCTGTACTCGGATAACCATCGTAGCCCTACTATACAAACACTTCAGCACTTCGATATACAGATCTACAGATATACAGTCAACTTGACACCGTTGAAGGGACTGTAGCATCGCTCAAATTTCGACAGAATCAAAGGCTTTCTCATAATCCACATACGCCAGGCAAAGTGGCAAATTGTACTCTTCGGTCTTCTGTACAATTTGCCGCAGGGTATGTATGTGATCTATGGTACTGAAGCCTTTTCGGAAACCGGCTTGTTCAGGAGGTCTGAACGTCAGTCTGTAGTTCTTCAAGAGAGCGTTGTCGCCTTTCTTAAAGAACAAGATCACCGCACTTCTGCTCCACGCCTCTGGAGTAGTGCCACCATGGAGGATGGAATTGAAGAGCTTCTGAAGGACTTCAAGTACCGGTGTTCCACCCGCTTTCAGAAGCTCCGCTGTAATTCCATCCTCGCCTGGGGCCCTGCCGTTCTTAAGGTGCTGGGTAGCCATTCTAATCTCGCTTAGACTGACGTTCAGGATATCATCGGAATAGTGTCGGATAAGACTTGCTCTTGGATCGTTACTCACACTTGCGTGTGGCTCCAACGATGATGTGTACAGCTGCATAGAACCTCTCAATCTCACTCAAAATCTCAGGTATCCCGGAAACGATGCTGTCACACTCAGTCTTCAGCTTTGACAGTTGCCTCTTACTGGCAGACAGATCTCTGGCAAAGACTTTGGAGCGCTGTTTCCGCTCGCTCGCTTCTTTAATACGAGCAGTATTAAAGTCTAATTGGTGGGGGTTTTGACGATTGCATCCTCATCTCCCGTCTAACAGCCATTAGATTAAGAGTGTTCGCGTGCGGCGGGTCTTGCAGAACTTAGCTCCGACCGCATGGACAGTTTTCACGAGCTTGTCATTCATATCTCCCACTGCATTGCAATCTTGTAGGCACTGAAAGCGTTTACGTAACTCGAGCTGAAAGGTTTCGGGATTCTGGATTATAGCACGAGGGGAACGGAGCGTTGACTTCATAGACCCTCTCCAACTTAACGTTTAGGTTCTGTGTGCCTCTACCCATTCGGTGATCGCTGCCAGTTTTCACCCTTGCGATCACTGAGACATCACTGAACGGTTGGCGTCTGGTCGTCATAATGAAGTCAATCTCATTTTTTGTCGAACCGTCGGGGCTCGACCAGGTCCACTTCCTGTGGGGCCGCTTCTGGAAGAAAGAGTTCATCATAAAGAGTCCCTCTTTCTCCATAAAGTCGGCCAGCTGCTGGCCCCTTCGGTTCCGTTGCCCTACTCCAAATTTCCCTAACTTCAGCTCACCGTTTTCTCTTGTGCCTAGTTTTGCGTTGAAGTCTCCCATCAACACCGTGTAGTGGGTTTTGGAGGAATGCATGGCTTTGGAAATATCCTCATACATTTCCTCCATTCGGCTTTCCTCATCGGGATATGCCGAGGTTGGTGCGTAAACCTGTATGACCTTCAGCGAATACCGTTTGGTGATTCTGAGTATCAGGTACGCGACCCTCGTCGACACACTCCCAATCTTTACAACGTTGTTGACGAGAGACTTGTGGACGATAAATCTGACACCTCCTTGGGACAGATGGTCGCCCTCCCGGTGATAGAACAAGTTGCAGGATTCGAGAATCACCGGGTCCTTACCCTCTATTCTGACCTCGGATAATCCTATAATATTGCAGCCCAACTTATCTATCTCTTCTTCCAGCTCCAGGATCTTCTCGTCAGTCCTCAGGGTGCGTGCGTTAAATGTTGCCAGGTCGAGTCGTCGTAGGTGGCAACCGAACGTCCACTGGAGATTCTTGCACCCCCTGCCCCGCCGTTACCATGGTCGCCACCGTAGCCAGGAATAGCGGTGACGCCGGGGACTGGGGGCCGTCTATTTGTGTAATTATTCATGGGGGTATATTGCCATAGTTGCCACGCTTGGCGAGCGGGTTGGCAACCACAGATTTTTTTTGTCGAATAGTTGCTGTTATCAGGAAGATGCTGCTGCCCATCACCTGCCTGTTACCCTCTGTCGCCTTTTACGACACCCACGGGAATATATGGGGTAGTGGATATTCTTAACCGCCACTACACGGTCGTCATACGTCATACTAGTGCAGACGTTTCTATTCAGTGTGTCAAGTTCAGTCTGAGTCCACCTGAGTATGCCAAAGGTATACATGAGGACAGGCATGACCCAACCGTTATATGCATGTGTCTTATTCACACGAGACAAAAGGCTGGTAAGCACCTTTGCTGGTAGCTCCATTCTAATAGAATTGCTAAAATCACAAGTGATGTTTAGCAATTCCACAAGACGGGAGGATCTGGAGGCGAACAACTTGAGGTCATCCATATAGAAAAGGTGAGTCACTTTTGTACCTCCTTTCCGAAGCTGAAATCCTCTCCCGGAGTCTTCCAGTAAATTACTGAGAGGGTACAAAGGATGATAAGGATCGTTCTCCACTGCCCCATACACCGCTCGAAGAATTCTCTCACTGTACTGTCAATCTTGTACAGCTCGAGGACCCTCTTTAGCCATGTATGGAGCACCGAGTCGAACGCCTTTCTGTAGTCTATCCAGGCAGCAGAGAAGTTCTGACGGTTGCGTTTCACCACTTTGCCAATGACCGCGTCAATGAGGAGTGGTTCCTTGGTTCCTCGACCACCGCCCTAAAATCCATTTTGAGCGTGCGATATCACTTGATTTGAGTCCAGGTGACGAGTGGTCTCGAGCTCAAAATGGAAGTGATCCCAGTAGTGAAGAGGCTTGGGAGCGACTTCTAGTTAAAAGCCTCTTGACACTGTCGGGCGAGCACAGTATGGTACACCACGAAGCCCTTCAGCCAGTAGTGATGCAGCCCGTCGAGTCCCGGACTTTTCCAGTTTGGGACCCTACGGACTGCCTCAGCTACGTCATCCGGCGTTATAATGACAGGGTCCATGGACGTAATACTCGCACACTGAATTGCCACAACTTCCGTCCAAGAGCCCTCGCTGTGGTTTACGGGTTTTCTGATCGGCTTCATTGAGATGCAAAATCTCTTTGCAACGCCAGCGAAGAGATTTTGCATCTCTTTGCGTATTTTATCGCATCTATCACAAGTGTGCTCTGAGTCAAGGAGTGCTCTGAGGAATTGTTCGGATTAATCCCAGCCATTTCATGACCGCACTACGCGGCAAACGTCCCTATACCATCAACACCATCTGGATGCTTAGCGGTCCAGCACTGTGCGTTTCAGGAGTTTTCTTCTCAACTCAAGTCGGTCTGCCAGGTTTTTTTTCTGTGATGGTAATAGATGGCTTCAGCTCAATAAAAAGACGATGCATCCTACCCCAACTTGCGAAACCTCCAACTTCTCCTCCTTTCGCCCTAAAATATGACCGCAATGCGTTTGTATTCATTTTGATGGTCCATCGCATGCGCCGTACTCCACCAGCGGTGGGTGTCGATTGCTGGGCCTGCGAAGACCCTGCCGACACCAAGCAAGCTGGTGGAGATGATGGATGTGAGGGCTACTGGGTGATCGTGCAGCACCTCGCGCTTGGCTGGGTGTTCGCGTCCAGCGCCAGCTACATACGCGCCCTGGTGACCTCCAGGCAGCGGCCCTTTGCACGTTGTTCTGTATTCCATCATCCATATTAGCGGGCGTCATTTGACGGGAGACGCCCAGACCCGGCGCCGTTTCATGGTGTATTTCAATTATTATTATTATCTATTCATAAATAAATTATAAATTATGTTGAAATAATACTAGTTTTTACGGAATTTATCGCGTATATTTAACTTTTTAAATACCCGACGTTTCGAGAGCTTTACAGCACCCATGGTCACGGGAAGGACTGAGATGTTCAACGTCCAGATGTCATAGTTAACCGCGGTTACCATAGATTAAAATTTAACTTTTGTTCCGATCTACATAGTATGAACTTATGGTATCGTGAAATCTTGCAGTTGTATGCTTGGGTTGGGATTTAATTTTATTTATAATAGGATCCCAAGCAGATGGTAGCACCCAGCCATCTTCTCTATTGAAATTAGGATCTTTTTTTTATTTCAATAGCCTCGCGAATCATCCTTGGAAGGAATCGGTGTTCTTTAGCGAGGATTTGTGGTCTATCAAATCTGATGTAGTGACGGGGGCGATCCTGTACGTGTTCACAGACTGCAGACTTCCCGGAGCGTCGATTCTTCACATCAGCTATATGTTCTTTAACGCGGGTTTTAATTGATCTTTTAGTTTGTCCTATGTAGGAGAGACCACATTCACAATCAAGCTTGTACACTCCTGCATCTTGCAGAGGGACGTTACACTTGACTGATGGTAAAAACTGACCAATCTTCTTCGGCGGCTTGAAGTATGTTTTGATGGAAGCGCGCTTCAAGATGTAGCCAATCTTGTCAGTGACTCCTCTAACATATGGCAGTACAGCAGGTACACGCTCGACTGTGGCCGGCTTCACTCGTTCTCTGTGACGTAGGCGCGGGACCCGAAGCTTGTTTTCAAGCAAAACTTGCTTGACGTGTTGGAGCTCGGCAGCCAGGTGTTTACTGTCACAGATCCGACGTGCTCACTGAAACAAAGATTTACCCACGGTAGCTAACTGTGAAGGATGGTGGTGAGAATCACCGTTTTTAATATCTATCTGTATGGGTCTTTTTTTCTATACACAGTATGGCTCAAGGTGTTATCAGGATTCCGAATTACTAACACATCTAGAAAGGCTAAGGAATTGTTTGCCTCTAACTGCATTGTGAACTGAATTTTAGAATTTATAGAGTTAAGATGGTCTAAAAATGCAGTTTCTTTATCTAAGGGTAGAATTGTGAAAGTGTCGTCTACATACCGCTTGTAGAATCTTGGATTTATGGGAGAAGTAAGCAGGGCTTTCTCTTCAAAGTCTTCCATGAATATGTCGGCGACAATGGGAGATACAGGTGAGCCCATCGCCACACCATCTACTTGCTTGTAGAACTCCTCCTTCCACAATAGGTAGCCAGATGTAAGGCAGTGTCTGAGTAATACTGCATATTCTACGGGCGTGTTGTTTTCTTCCAGCCTTCTAGTTACAATTGAGATGCAGTCTTCAACAGGTAAGCATGTAAACAATGACTGCACATCAAAACTGACCATAGTTTCATTGTCTGCCAGACGTAGGTCTTTAATCTCGCTAACAAAATGGTAGGAATCCTTTATGTGTGCTCTTGTATGTCCCCTGAGCTGTGAGAGTATTTTCGCTAAGTGTTGAGCCAATCTGTAAGTTGGTGAATCGATTTGGCTCACTATGGGACGTAATGGAGCATTGGGCTTGTGTATTTTTGGTAACCCATACAACTTTGGTGATTTGGCGCACGTATGTATTATCCATTTCACGTCCAGATTAAATTTTTCGGATTGTTTCTTTATGACATCTGGACAACTATGACATCTGGACGTTGAACATCTCAGTCCTTCCCGTGACCATGGGTGCTGTAAAGCTCTCGAAACGTCGGGTATTTAAAAAGTTAAATATACGCGATAAATTCCGTAAAAACTAGTATTATTTCAATGTGTAGTGTTCGCGTAAATATAAGAAATCATTATGTAAATTATGTTTTTTATAATTTTAATTTTTATAAATATTATAAATTATTACATATATAAATTATCAATTATTATTGATTTATTATTATTTTTTTATTTTTTTTTTAATATAATTTCACCATTATTTAATGTTTCTTTTTGTCAATAATTAAAAAATTACTTCGCAGATACAAATTACCGACGGCAGCGCGGCTATAAATTCTACAAATTTTCAGGGACAGGAGAGCTATGCTTTAGCACGTAGCGATCGTTCTCCTGTTGTCTAACCTCCAAGTCCATGGCTTAGTAGTCTGTGATAATTTGTTCAAGACATTTAAACGTCTTATACATGGAGGTTAGAGAGGGGAGAACTATCGCTACGTGCTAAAGCATAGCTCGCCTGGCCCTACAGTACAATTAGATGAAGTTAGTTGAATAATGTACATAATTTCTTCGTGGCATTGGTGAGAAAATAATTGTGCTACGTAATTTTTAAATTTTTGATAAAAAAGAAACATTAAAAAATGTTGAAATATTGTACTTTGCGTGGATGTGCAAGTGGTTTAGCATCTGACCGGAAAAATAAACTGAACATGACTTTTATAGGGACAACTTAGCGATCGCAGCGCCTCACTTATTTTGTCCATATTTCTAGGACACTATTTTCCACAGCGATCGATCTCTTTCTCTCTAACCTCCATGATCTTATACACGGTCCATTTTAGACCTTTGAGTATTCATCCAACTGGAGTGGCCATTGGCCACGCGCGTTAATACCTAAACAAAAATTCTGTCAACATCAGGGGGGCGCAAGAAAAACACATAACTGTATACTTAACTACAAATGCAAAATAAAATCGCGTCACTGTAAATGCACACTACAACATTTGTGTTTGTATTCATTGCATTTACGTATATAATCAAATTGTACACGTGTCGATACACTGGGGTCGCTGTCCACATGCATAAGCAACGTAGGGTGTGGACTATGTCGATACTTTTTATCGATAAACAAATCACCATAGTCCGCATTAGCTTGCAACATATTTATTTATCTGTCGTCCGCATATGTTTTTATTTGATTATAAGTAATACATAGATAAATAATACCAAGGTATTATTTGAAATTCTTTTTTTTTAATATTTAAAAATGACTTTTAAATTATCGAAATTAATTTTATTAGTTTGCTACAGGTTTATTTTACATTATTCTAAACTATATATACCTATTTTAAAAATCAGATTTATAAAAAGAAAAGTTTTTCGTCTTAGATGGTGTTAACCAAGTTTTTGTTTCTATTATAAGGCTTCGTTCACCAAACCGCTATTTAAAGAAAGTTGTTGATTTTCAAGAGTTATTAAAGAACTATCTGGAAAATATTTAATAAATTAGGAAAATAAAGTAGTTTTACAAAATATTATAGTTGAAGTAAACTTTAAACAGACAGCTGCTTAAAAACAAAACGTGACATCTTCCTAGGGCTAAGTATTCCCCAGAAAGATATTTTGCTTTAACTTTACATTACTATTCACCGAAAGCCTAACGATACGTGCGAAATATCAAAAGTTTTGAAACTTGTCTGCCTTCATCACGTACCATAACAAAGTGGTATAGTTTAATTGATGGCTGACTTGGCTACACAAAAAAGTGTTAACTGTTTTAAAACTTGTTTCTCCACTCCTGAGCGTGGGTGCTCAGGCTGCCCCGCGTATTCTGGGGGGGGGGGGGGCAACATTCCGCTCAAGACTACAACTGCTCGGGGCAAACGGAGCAACAAGACCAAGGCGACCCCTGACACACTATCCGTGAATTTCTGCTACAGCAGATCCCCTCCGCAGAGATCGTGATCGTTCACGTACAACCGATCATGCGAGGAGATCTATTCATGATTTCGCCTTGGCGTATGGTCTGACACAACTGGTTAGTTCGCCTACGCGGATTCCAGATGTGGAGGATCATGCACCTTCCCTGTTGGACCTTCTGCTGACCTCTCACCCGGACGGATATCAGATTTCCGTCGACGCCCCTTTAGGCTCCTCGGACCATTGTCTTGTCTGGAGTGTGGTGCCACTCGCGCTGAAATCGCAGTTGCATTATGCAGGCTGCTGCCATGTTTGGCACTATAGGTCAGCCGATTGGGACGGTGTTACTGCCGCAAGCTACCCTGACAAATGTCGTCGAACTCGGGCCCATAGGAGTCCAACTAGACGAGTAGACAAGGGGGAGGGTCAAACGACCTGTGGAATATTAAGATATATCGGCTAACAAGGAAGAGAACAAAACTTACCTTTTTCCGACGAAGTAGGGTTAACCATAGGAAGATTCAGATGTAATAGTAGGTGTGTGATTGTGTTATGCTCAGTACGTGTTATATTGTATAACCTGACTTCCCCGCTGGTTGCAGAACAGCAGACCCAAAGACTTCACCTCTATTCTAATATGGGATCCATCGAAGGGGCAAGCAGTCACAGAAAACACTTCAGAGTCTAGGAAATTATGCTCGTTTATCACTTATTATTTATAGTCAAGTCAATTATCAAGTTAATCCAATCAAATTCAACAATGTTTAACCGACACACGCGTTACAACACACGGACGGCTGGTTAAAGTTCTATGTCACAGGACAACGTAGCAAAAACGTAAGGTTCGCGAAGTATAAGCGTCTGGGCTGCGAGGCGGCAATTATATTAACAAACGCGCGACTACACAGCTCCACTGCTAGCTAACCGAGAAGCACGATACGCTTCTGTTCGCCCCCCCCCCCCTCCGGCTCCGCCGTCAGGCCGATTTCCCGCTCGAAAACGCGCGCCTACGCAGGTTGCAAAACGTTAAAATTAGGCCTAAACAAACCCCCGTCCCGGACATGAGGACCTATGTCCGCGAATAAATTGGCAAACGGGATAGGGTCGCGACGGCACGTTGCAAAACCGAATCTCCAACCAAAACCTCGGCCACCCTAGGCACCCCATCCGGTCCATACGACAACTTAACAATGCGTCCATGGCGCCAATACGAAGGCAAAGCGTTAGGTTCTTTAACTAACACGAGGTCCCCAACCCGAGGGGGATCCGTCTTGTCAGACCACTTAACGCGCTGCTGCAAAAGATGTAGGTACTCCAGAGACCATCGGTGCCAAAAACTCTGAGTCATT